TTCCCCCCCCCCCCCCGACCCTGCTAAATTCTGTTGGAATTTGTTCCAATAGTGCCAGTGGGTTAAGGAACATAATTTTTTTGAGATTTCTGGGTCAGTAGAATAAAGGTTATGATAAGGTTTTTCTGTGCATTCAGGAACTGAAAGGGTTTATGGTCATGGAAGGCATGTGTGACTCTCAGGTGAAAGGACCCACTTGTAGAACAAACACCCAAAATGGACGAGACAGAACAGAGACTCTAACTATTTGGGAAATTGGTGCAAAACTCTATTTGATCAAGCTTTTTTGTATTGTAAGCAGAAGGGCTTTAACAACATGAAAGTTTTTCATAAGCTTGCCTGGCAGGTATAAGAGATTGAAACTTTATAAATAAAATAAATTCAATTAGGGACTTGGCTATTGCCAGCCCTATATTTTACACAAAACTTGTGGAAATACAGTGTCTGCTGGCAGTAAATTATAGGACAGCATTTGTAATTAAGTTTATTTGGCTTACTTCCATGTTAATATGTATGTAATAATTATTGTGAATAAGATATAAATGGCATATTCACTAGAAATTAGGAAAAAAACAATGACTTTTAGTGGAGTTGTAGAAGAGAAGCATAAAGAAGAAACAGCATAACAATATGTGAAAAGACAGACTTATGTTTCAGACTTAATTTTGACAGAATTATGTCAAGATGCACTGAACTGAACTCATGTGACTATTTTTTAATTAAAAACAGACTTCCCCACCCCCCAGCCTTGCTTTATTACAGCAAACAAGAAAAGGAAATGAGGACAGCTAAAAGGCTGTATGTACAATTCACTATGTAGTATACCAAGTTCTGCTGGTTTTTCCTAATCTTTGAGTGCATCATCAGAATTATATAAATGTGACTTCAGACTTTGCATTTAAAACTTTGCATAACTAAGAAAGAGAGTAATATAAAACAACCATAATGAGCCTTTTAGTTTCTTGTTGGTGCAGGAAAATTATGGAAAGTAATCTTCAATAAATTAGATTGACTAGTGAAAAGAGGAGTTCAAATCAAAATGGTGATTGACTCTGGCTGAAACTTCCTAACTTAGAATCATAGAGAAGTAGGGCTGGAAGGGACCTCCAGAGGCCATCTAGTCCAACCCCTGTCTGAGGAAGGATCATCCCTATCCAGACTTCACTTAGGAATTGTCTACCGCAGTCTTGGGTTGAAGTTAAACAAGTTATTTTTTTAGTTTTTACCCTAGGACTACTAAAGCACTAATGTGATCAAAGTGTAACTATGATAAGTACTTTCACTTGGAGGTTAGACTCCGGGCCAACTACTACAATTAAGATGCATCAACATTTTATGGAGCAGTGTAAAATTCTCCTTGGCTGCTTTTAGCATTGATGTGTTTAACTTAATGGAGTTAATAGAAGCTGTTTTGTTTATTTGCAGACAGCAATTCTTGTTTTTTGTCTTTATGTATATAGTCTGTGAACCAGCTGGCAATGGAAACAAGAAAAGTGATGAAAGGGAATCATTCCAGAAAGACTGCTGCATTTGTCAGAGTAGGTGTAAATGTAATAGGTTTCTAAACCACTCATTCCCCTTTATACAAATATTGTCATCTGTCAGCCTATAGTTATAGTTTATAATTTGCCATATTGCTATCAGCTCACTGTTTCTGTATGAACACTAATGTTTGTTTGCCAAAGGCTAATTGCTACCACACTCTTTCAATCAAAACTCCTATACAGAGTTTTGTAAGTTTTGCAAGAATTGGTCCTCAATCAAAGTTTATTGTTTTCTTCACTGTCTACATGTTTTCTAAGCATTTTTCAAGAAAACTTAATTCCCCCCCGAAACTGTCACTGCATACCCAAGCCAGTTATAGAAGGAAAAATAGTTACTGGAAGAGTAACATTTCTTGTTTTATAAGTGTTATGATTTAAGCAGGTACTTAAATATAAAATAACATCTTCTCTTCATGTTTGAAGTATACATAAAAGCCACTTAATGCAGGTATGTTTGTGTAAGGGCATCAGATGACATGCATGTCACGCTGCTTATTTTTTTCCTCCTCTTAAATATCTTACCCAGTAAGTATTGTTGGGAAGGGTTAAATGGGTTCTGCTGACTTGTGACCCATGGCATCTGAATATTTGGGGAAGTGGGATTGCCTCTGAGAGGATCTGTGATACAAGCTCTTGAAGGAGACATTGGGCATGTCTATGTGTTCAAATAATCTGGGAGCAGTTTACTGTAAAGTAAACTCTCCTGGCCACATATCTACATGTGCAGGGATGTGGGAGCAGATTTACTGCTCTTAGCAGCAGACCGCTCCTGCTCCCTGTGGTCCTGCACCAGGTAGCTCACCCTGGGTGCTAGCTCAGGGGTCAGGAGAATGCTGTCTACTGGCAGGGGATAGGACATTGCTCCTTGCCTCCAAAAAATGCCTGCAGGGACAATATCCCCATGTCCCGACAGCAGGGAGTTCCCAGCCCCAGCTCTACCCAAGCCCTGTAGTTGTGGGGCCTAGACTGGAAGATCCTTATTTCCCAGCCCAAGCCCCACGGTTGTGAGGCTGGGAGATTCTTTTCCCCCAACCTAAGCCCCACAATCGCAGGGCCCAGGCTGGGAGATTCTTCTTTCCCTGCACCAGCCCTGCAGTTGCTGGGCTGGTTCTCTCTGCACCCACCCCAGTACCACTCTCCCAGCAAATGCTTTCCCAGTGCTGGCCCCACAACTGCAGGGTTCAGGCTCCCTGCTGCTGGGGCAGGGGGACATAGTCTCTACCTGGGCTCTAGTGGTGGAGCCCATCCTGGCAGCAGGTAGCTCCCAGGGGCAGGGAGCAATCTCCTGCTACCAAGCTGACCAGGAACACATTTGCTCCTGGTCAGGGGTCAACACATGTGCTACAGTACAGTAAGTAATAGGAGTGCACAGATAGAGATTTTTTGGGCTGATGGCCAATTTTTAATGACCCATATCGGCCAATACTGATCCAATAGCCTATATGTAGCCGGGCAGCTTGCAGAGCATTGTCTGGCTGGTAAGTCTGTTGTGGGGGAAGAGACGAGGGAGGAGGGAAGGGGCATGGGGGGGGTACAGATTGGGGCCCCAGTGGTGAGGGAGGGAGTAGGGCTGGGGGAGGAACTGTGCAGCTGGGGTGGGGCACGTAATGGAGCCACAAGCATCTCATCTGGGGGGTATGGGGGCGTGCCCCCCGATCTGTGCACAGGGCGAGGGTGGGCTGCCACTGCAGGCTGGAGTGGTGCCAGGATCTTCCTGGTGGTGACTCTGAGTCGGGGCTTCACTCAGGGTGGGCAGCAGTGGCACCGGGAGGGGAGGCTACGGGGGTGGGGCTGCAGCCACTCGAAAATTCACTGTAGCCCCCTGTAGCAGTTCTGCCACTGCCCGCTCTGAGTGCAACCCTGGCCCAACTCCCCCTGCCAGGAAGAGGCTGGCACCACCCTTGGCCCCAGCCTGCAGTGGTAGCCTACCCTCGCCCTGCATGCAGATCCAGGGCACACACCCCCCTTGGCCTCCCAGGGTGCACATAGCAGCAGGAGCCATCCCCCTGACACCACGGACCAGCCGCTCATGGCTCAGTCCCGCATCCCACCCTGGCTGTGTAGCTCCTGCCCCAGCCCCTCTCCCTTCCTGACCTCTGGGGCCTCGATCTGTGCCCACCTTCCCCCTCGCCAACCCTTCGCTTGCAACAGACCTGGCTGCTCTCCAGGCTCTTGGGCTATGCTCCTGGCAGCCTGTGTGCTGTGCTGCAGCTGTGCATGCCACGGGGTTTTTATTGGCCACATCAGCCAAAAAAAAAGCGAACTGCTGATACTGTCAATTTTCCTTATATTGGTGCCAATCCAATATGGGACCGATGTATCAGTGCTCCTCTAGTAAGTAATTTTGAGTAAATTTGCTGTTTGCATTTGCAGGTAGCAAATTTACGTGCAGTTACAACAGAATACAGTGCAGTAAGCATCTGCATGCGTAGATGGTGACACTGTGCAGTAATTGGCTCTAATCTTGAGTAAAGGATCTTGTGTAGACATGCCCACTAAGCCTTAAAGTTGGTCTGATCTTATTGTTATGATTTTTGCTTTTTTTGTTTATAATGACAAACATCAGGAGTTGGGTGAGTGAGGACTTCACCCATGTTATGGGTTTTTTTGATAGGTCACATTTGGGCAGGTGCTCTCAATGCATCTTGACTTTTGTGTGTTAATAAAAATGCAGCCCTAATGTAAGAGATGAGTCATGTTTTCAATATATATTTTCTTATGTGTTTAGGCTTGTGTTGCCTTCTGCTTCATTACAATTCCTTCTCTGGGTAGTATCTTTGGACGTCTTAATCTGTACCTACACTCTGGACAAGTTGCCTTGGCAAATCAGTGCCTTTCACAAGGTAAGCCAGAGAATTTGTGCTGTGTGCACAACTTGCTTATTTGAAAACACAGTATTTTTACCTATGGATAATACTCTATTAGTTTGAAACCAGAAATATAGGCATATTTTACAACAAATATGCCTATCCTGTAAACAATATTATCACAAAAAGAATTTACATGGTATCTTCTGTTTCCAAAACATCAGCTCTAATATTGATCCTATAGTGTAAAGATGTAGAAAAACGAAGTCTTTAGCCTCCATATCTTGACTCCTATTGTCATAATAACAATGTAGGGCAACCTATCTCAAAGTATATTTAAAAAATGATATTTGAATATGGCAGGGGTGTAGGTTGTAGCTAAGTTGGTCTAAGGACATAGGCAGACAAGGTTCTTTGAGTGAATCTGATATCTTTCATTAGACCAACTTAAATAGTTGGAAAAAAAATCTTAAGCAAGATTTCAGGTTTAAAAACCCTTTGTCAAGCTGAGAAAGTTTCTGCAGTTGGTGTGTGCACTTGCTGTTACTTTTCAGTCCATCCAGGAAGAGCACACACCAACTGCAGAAACTTCCTTGGCCTGGCGAAGGGTTTTTAAACCAGAAAGCTTGCTTAAGATTTTTTTTCAACTATTTAAGATGGTCTAATAAAAGATATCAGATTCACCCAAAAAACCTTGTCTGTCTTTTGAATATGGCTTAATTTGAATAAACACCTGAAGTTATTTGCACGTGCACTTTTTAAAACAGTTTATGCCAATGTGTGTGTGTGTAAAAAAAAAAATAAAATTGGGGTGGTGCAGGGTACCTCCTTTTCATTTGTAAAACCAAAAAGTGCTTTACATTAATATTCTTTGGAAAAAGGAAACTTAAATCAGCCAAAAGTATTCAAGGGCTTAAGATATTTTTGGCAAGACCATTTGGAAAGAAATAAAACTCTAGAAACTTCAGTCAGGTTGGCCTAGTCATTGATTATGGTAGTTCGTTTGGTTGGACTACAAGATTGGTGTCAATGCAGCGGAAGAATAAGTGATGAAGAAATGCTTTGCTCATAAAAATGTTAGATGTGTTTCAGGGAGATCATGACTGGTATTGGAAAATGGGAGAAAACCAAAATAAATGCTCATTTGGTCTGAAATATCATTGAACAAACGTCTGAACATGGTGTTCAGTGGCCTTGTTTTGTTAGATGTCTTAAATAAATTGTAAAATAGAAAACCTGACCACTTAGAGGATTTTTTTTAACCACAAGATTACTGGCAGGAAGTGGCTTATACTCTTAAACTGCAGTTTTACTGTGTGCTGTTAAATATTTGTGATGGTTATCTGGTCCAACCCCCTGCACCATTGCAGGAATGCTAGGAAAATTGCCTTTTTCCTAATGATGAGCTCTGTTGGACTTTGAACTAGTCTCCTGGCAATAGCAGCATTAATAAGTAAAACTGCAGTGGGGGAACATTACAGAGCAAGCAAGCCTTTGTATAGAGAAAGATTAGATGTTGGATTCCATCTCTGATTTTGGTGTTTTCCATGTGAAAGTAACAGGAATGTAACTCTTCCTTTACTTGGATGTTGCCGTCTTTTCAGTTCACAATGTTGTCAGACCTCTGCATTTGCTAGTAGGTTCCAGCTGCCCAAACAAGCTGACCTAGGAAGCTGATTAGGTCTTTTTGTACAAGACCACTGATAAATGTTCTTTGTTTTGAACACAATGTTGGACATAAAGTAGGCAGGGCAGTTGGACTGAGAGCAAAGCTGGCTCTTGTCCAAGTATATTGGAAAAATAAGCATTGCAAAGTCAATTGTGCAGTTGATATTCATGCAGCTTGTTTGTATGTAGACAAATTGTGCACAGACCTCAGACTGCAGCAACTTTTTCCTCTGGTGATTTTTCTGGTGTGTTTGTATGTTGCTAAGTAGTGGGACTTTTCCTAGAAATAAGGTCAGTTGGTATATCCCAGGGCGGGCACTTATTTTGGGTGGAGGGCCGCTTACTGAGTTTCGGCAAGCCATCAAGGTCCGCATGATAGGCAGCCAGGGGCAGATGAATATAAATTTTCTAAATTGTTTAGGGGCCCCGTGGGCCGGGTAGAATGGTCTGGTGGGCCACATGTGGCCCATGGGCCGCATTTTGCCCACCCCTGATATCCTGTCTCTAGGACCATACCCTATGCTTTCAGGGGCTGGTTTCATGATCTGATAGCTTTTTCTACATGTCTGTTATCCTGCTCTCCCCTGCCCCCTTATCTTTATGGTCAGTCTTCTTCCTCAAGGACTTTGGCTTAGGCAGTTTCCCAGATTTTTGAAAGCGAGAATCTCCAAATTATTTTTATTTTGCATGCATATATGAAAACACAGAACAACCAGTGCAGAGTATTGAAAGCGTGTCACCAGAATGAGTAGCCTGTTTTGTTCATACTGACGCTATATGATATGTTACTACAGTAACTTTATAAAAAGCAAATAAGTTCTTTAAAGAGTCTTGCTGTGGGCATACACAGTTATGTCAGTTCTGTGACTTTTTGGAAAATTGGTCAGCAAGTATGTGTGATGATGGGGCTAAAGCTATGTGTATAACTGACAAAGTGCATAGTTTCAGCCGGTTCATCTCGTAGAACCACACAGTTTACATTGAAAATCAAATTTCTAGGTTACTTCAGTAGGAACTAGAGTGGGTCCTTATTCTGTGTCTAAAGAATGTGCATCTTAAATGTATATATGAATACTGATTAATGCATTCAAGCTGATCCACTCCTTCACTCAAAGCCATGTTGACGCTGGCTCACCAAAAGAACTGACCCTGCATCCAATGCTGTGTGTGATAGTAAGAAACACATAGTCCTTCCCAGGGCTGAGAAGTGAAATATTGCTGCATGGCATAGCTTGAGCTGGTTTGGTTTTGCATTGTCCAATATTGTAGGGAAAGGCTTAATGCCGAGCTAATGTTTTGATTCAGGCAATCAATCTATGGTGGTTTCCTTGCAATTTTAGTTGCCTTTTTAAATATTCCATGCACAGTTATGGAAGATTAGGCTTTTTCTTGAAGCCGCTACATGGAATTCGGCTGTTTGGCACTAGGAGTTAATTGTACAATAAAATCAGTAGTTACCAGATTGAGTCTGTCAATCACTGTATGATTTCTATAAACTTTCAATTTATGCCATTTTAGAAGGGAGTACAAATTACCATCCTCATCTGCATGTTGATAATATCTTTCAATACATCTGGCAACATTTTGCTCTTGAAAGTGACAGACGATTCACGTTTTGGGGAGGGAGAAAGTATAGCTACGCTGAAGCAAACTCCTTGGGTAGATGCATTGGTGTACAAAGTGGATTGCATCAGTGCAGCAAGGTGTGACAGCTGTACCACTTCTTTACACCTGTGGGTCCCATCTTGGAGTGGGGTCAGCTACTGATGTAGCTATCCCAGTGCACAAAAGCCCCAGTGCAGACAAGCTTTGAGGTTCCGGTTACTTGTAGCTGGAAGAGCACACACCTACTGCAGATGCTTCCTCAGCCTGATGAAGGGTATTTATACGTGAAAACTTACTGAGAAGAATTTTTCCAAATATTTGAGTTGGTCTAATAAAAGATATTACATTTACTGAAGGAACCTGTTGCTTGTAGAGCACTTCTGAATGCAATGTTGCCATTATTCTGACTGACAGAAGGAGCTGTTCATGGAGGATTGGATCAAAATGACTGTGGCTTGAGACAACTCTTCAGTGACAGCTTCCACATTTTGCCCAGCCAGGGTTCATTGTCTGCTGGGCCTTGAAGCCCCCTGATGTGATGGCACATTGCTAACAAAGGCAACTCTGGTTTCTGTTATTGTATCCCATCATCTGCATTTGATTCATTTAGGTTATGGACTTGTGGGATTCTTCAGACTCTTGGTATATTCCCATTGGGCTGTGATGGTTATGTTTGAAAAGCTCTTTTTCTAGAGGTAGTCTGCCTCTCTTTGGATTAATATTTCTATTGCTTATGCTTTTCCAAGATAATGCCATTGTCTTATGGTCCAATTTTAAAGGCAGTTTTTAGAGTCCAATTCAGTAAACCCTGTGGTTGTTTAGAGTCTCATTCAGAAGTTTTTGACTGTTAGATTCAAAGTAGCAAGAAAATGAAGTGGTGACAGCTACTAAATGCTTTAAAGGGTAGGAAGAAAAGCTGCCTGAGAGCTGTTTAAGCAGTAACATGTTTTGAAATGTAGTTAGTAGCACAGTTGGTGGAAAGTAATTACTGTTATGCAGAGGTAGTGTTGCAGTGTTCTGACTGCAGACTGCACAGGGAGGTGTAAAAAGCAATGCAGTCTGTAGGTAAGTACACCTTATAATTCACTATTACGGCATCTGCTGACAGGCAGCTGCAGTCACTGGGGTGGATTGGTACACAGCCCACTAATTCTCTGCTTAGAAACGTCTGCCTCCCCAGCCAAGCGTATAGAGCGGCTTCTGGGCTCTGCTGGTATCTGGTTATTTCTTCTTTTTGACAATTCCAGCAGTAGTTTCTCTTAGCTTTTTCCCCTCTGAGCGTCCCCTAATTCCTTTACCTCTTGCTTTCCTTCTTGTTCTCGCACCAAGATGTAGAGCCATTGCCTAGAAAGGTATGTAGCAAAGCAACAAAACTTTGAAAAACTACTCAATTTTTTTTCTAATTATGTAGTTGGTCTAATAAAAGGTGTCATCTCTGAACCAAGAATTCTAGAGTTTTGCATTTCTTTTTGTCTCAGATCAACACGGCTATCAAATACATCCCTCTTATCAGTATCAGCATACCGTGTTAGCCTCAGATGCTTCCTGAGGCTCCCACATTGAGGCCTTTAGCTTGTTGGAATCATGATGCGGATATATGAAAGTCAGGTGAAAGTATGCAAAAAGGGCCAGGTATGGGCATTTTCTCTCCACAGCTCACAGCGTTTTGAAGTTTAAATTAAAAAAAAAAAGACAACTGGTGCTTCACATGGCTCCAAAACTGCACAGCAGCAGGGGTGGTGTGTAGAGGGTGCACATGGGTG